AACAGAGCAAGAACCTACCAGTGCTGTTGAAGTCACCAGCACCTACGAATCTTTGCCCACAAAAGAGCAAATCCTCTACTCCAACACAACAGCTGCTGAATATTCCTCCACCCTAACTGAAACTTTGGAGAATTATGTCCCTCTGGCATCAGAAAAAGTGCCTCCTCCATGCGAAACTTCGGGAAAACCTGTCCCTCATGAAGCAGAGCGAGAGCCTACCATTCGAGTTGATGATCAAGCAGAACCTTTGGCTGAAGAACTTGGCAAACCCGCGATCTCAACGGGAAAACTGTTGCTAGACGCCTTGAAATCGCAAGAAGATGCCCACATGCAATCATCCGCCTCTAAAATCAGTGAGGCAGTCGAACATGCCAAGGTGCTGATTGAGGAGACCAATAAGCTGCTTTTGGAGGAAATTGCAGCCTTGGGTAGATCGCAAACATCAACGAACCCTGAAGACAATTCAGGCTACATAATATTGCAAAAACCACCCGAAAGCAATGAAGCCAACTTAACTGTTGAGGATGTTATCCATGTCATTGATACTGTGCAGATTTCTGAGGATGTTAATGCGATCATTAATCCGGAGAGTGTGAATACTCAGAAGAACTTCCAAGACGAAGTTATATCTGAAGCTGATGCAAGACCCTTGGACGATGCAAAGGAAAATATCCCAGTTAGGCCCAAGAAGGCCAAACGCAAGAGCAAGAACAAAGAGAAACTCAATCAACCAGACCAACCGATTGCCATCGCTCTTGCAGAGTCCGAAACAAACGTCTGCTCTCAAACAACCACTAAAACGGAAAATGTCACAGTAACCACGTCCACTTCTTCCAGTGAGACAAATGCTTCACATAAAACCTCTCACCACATAAAGAAAGCTACCACTGAACCCTCAAGCGAAGAAACTGGTCGCGTTAAGCAGCAACAACGGGCTTCAGTTGAGCTCAAACCAACCAACAAGATTGTGTTTATTACGCATGAGGAAATCAAAATGAAGCCAGTCGTCTCGTTGAAGATGGAGTTCGTGGAGACGCCCGTGGAGGAGATCGAGCACATCGAGAAAGGACTCGTTGAAGAAGAGCGTGCGCTGAAGACGCAGGAAGTCATCAATCTGATTGCTTCTTCCGAAACCGTCATTGATAACACTGTGAAGAACACTGTTCACGAAGTGACCTCAGTTGAGCAAATTGAGGGCATTGCAGTCAACAAGAGCGAATCCTCCGAGGTGATCTCCCAGTTCCCCTCGGCGGAAAAGGGACTGGAGACACTCATTCAAACCGACTCCAAAGAGGAGGTCAAATCGCGCACAGAACAGCAGGGAGTAGTGCTGGAAAAGCAGAACGGAATTGAGGTGGAGGTCTCAACACCTTCTTCAGAAGTTGCTGTAGAAACCGTCATAGCCAACGGCCATTGTGAGGCTGTGACGTCAGACCTCCAGGAGGAAAAGAGCAGCACCACCAAACAAACCATACTTACAAACGAAACTGAAAAAACGCAAAGCTTTGTAGAGAAGTTCTTGGACCAAGAAAGGACTACTCACGCCCCAACCGAAGAAGACAAAAGAAGCACTCCTCTGCCTGATATAGACTATCTTCAACCAGAGCTCTCGCCATTTGAGTTGACAAAAGTCCCTAAAACGAACGAGGAACCCATCAGTTCAGTGCTGAGCCTACTCAAAGCGGAAACGTTGTCGAAATACCAACAGGAGACTGAGGCTCAGATCAGAGCCATCAAAGACAAGCCGGCCCGGATCATGCCAATACGCCCATATGAAGCAAGGCGAGAAATCAGAAAATCTGAGCCCATCATCGAGGTGGAACAGGCGATATTCGGCTCTGTCAAAGACCGTCATGGGAACAAAGAGAAACGGAAGGATCATCTGAGGAAGCTCGAGCTGAACGAGAGTTCTAAAGTGGACGCCAAAAGACACGCTCTTCAGCAATCGCCTCCTCCTCCTGAACCATTGCCACCCTGTACACCAGACGTCGCCAGAAGTGACTCCGTCATTGACAAAGAAATTGGTGACGTTGGGGAAATAATGGAAATATTAACAATAAAGAGCAAAGAAGGTAACGAGAAAGTTGAAACTGCAACCAGCAGTGCCACAGCGGAAGAAGCCACTGGCGAGAGTAACCGGAGCGCAGCTCAGGCGGACTCAACAAGGTCTTTCCAAGACGATCAACTGCGCGAAACCTCAAAATGCCCTCCATCTCCAATAACGCCATTGCCCGAGATCGAGTACTTGCAAGCGGACTCAAGTCAGTTTGAAATCAAAATTGTGAGCAAAAAGGAGGAAAACATCACGGACATTTTGCACCTGTTGAAGGCTGAAACCTTATCAAAGTACGAGCCAACGTGGAAAGAAGAAAGCAAACCCGCTGCTGATTTGCACAGACCGGAAAGGATCGCGGCTGAAGACACTGCGGTGAAAAACCGCAAAATCAAGAAGAAAAAGTCGGTTTCATTCGAAGACCATCCGCTAATCATCCCGCCGCCCAAAGAGCCCTTGGAAGGCAATCAAGCAACGGAGATAAAAGAAGAGGGCACCGAACTGGCAAGTGAATTCGAGTTCGTTGAGGAAAACGAGCTTGATGAGGTCAAAAAAGTGGTCACAACCGATCTGGACGATTTTGATGATCTGGAGTGGGAGCGGGTGGAAAAGCCGACTGCATCTGAACGCCTTGCAGAGCAAATATCAGAAGATTCCACTAAAACCACTGAAGAAGCCATTCAGGCGCTCAACACAGGCTCCATAGAAGCCCCAGCTGCAGCTCAGGAAGCAGTAAATGCGCCTGGATCCGCTCAACCAATTGCAGAAGAAATCCCAGCAGCAGACAAACCAAAGAAAAAGAAGGGCAAAGCTGGTAAGAAGAAAACCAGCGAAAGCGCTGCTTCAGAAAAACCCGAAACTCCAACCGAAAAAGACCCTGCTGACTCTAACGGTGTTGGCGATAGCAAACTGCTGCGAAGATGGGCCAGTGTGGTTGGCTCCACAGCCGACACCAAAGAAGAAATTGCGGAAGTTGTCGAAGAAACTCCAGCGCAAAAGGTTCAGGGTTCACAACCAGATGAACCGGTGAGAGCGAAAAAAAGCAAGAAGAATAAGAAAGCCAAAGAAGCAGTTGAAAACGGAAAACCACTAGAGCGCTGGCCAAGCATTGAAGATCTAAACGCTGATGAAAATGTGGAGCCTGAAGCAACAGAGTTGCTAATTATTGAAGACTCCGTGCAAAGTCCAGAGCTGGAAAACATTGAAACTGCTATTGAAGAGCAATTGAAGGACGCTCTGGTTGAGCCCACGGCTCCGGAGCAGAGTAAAAGCAAAAAGAAGAAACACAAGAAGAAATCAGGAAAGACAGTCACTCAGCTAATCGTTGAAAGCCCATGTGAGGACACTAAATCATCTCTTCGGGACAGTGAGCGATTGGAAGTTGCCAATAGTCCAGAAGAGTGGAATGTCGAGAGTCACTCAGCAGCTGTAGAAGAGCCGATCGAAACTGGCGCTGCTGCGGAAAGCTGGGCCAGCAAAGTACAATCTGAAGCAGAGCAAGTTCTTCATCAGCCTCAACCGGGCGAAGACCTTGCGTTGGAGCAATGCGTAGCCAAAGGAAGGCGCAGGAAACATCGCCATGCCAAGCCAAAACACCCACATGAAACTGAAAGCGAGAAACAACACCTCACTGCTGTATCTTCT